GGTTGGGTTTTTTTAATTCCACGTCAGCGCTGAAGGGAGGAGATGCATTGGTCTCAGTTCGGTTCTCGTTCTGCTGATGGTAGTAGTGTTAATATTTATGGTCCTGAGGAGGCTGCTGAGAGGGAAGTGTTGTCTGAACAGCAGAGGTGTTAAAGGGCCACAGAGGGCCGAGAGTCTGCAGGTTTTTAATCCAGCTAAGCACTAAAGCAGCTGATCTCACCAGGGGTGCAGAGCTCTGCAGAGAGAGTATGTAGCATACTATTAAACTAGCATTATAATTTGAATTTAATACATTTCTGGTATCGTGACATCCCTAATTGTTATAATATAATACTAACACACTTTATTTATACCAGTTCCTGCTCCAGGTTGTAGATAAAGTCTCCGCAGTGGACAGATGTCGATTTAGCCAATGTGCCAATATGTGCTCCTTCTATCTGCCTCCTTCTGAGAGCAACACATTCCCCTTGTTCTGTTTGCCTAAAGTTATTGTTCTAAATATTGTTCAGTAATCTTGTTTACAGAAAGTGTGGCGTGGGTGGTGCTGGTGTATTGTGTATCCGTCTCTGGTTCAAAAACTCCCACATTCCACAAGCTGCAATGCACCAATCACAGTAGGGTTTTCTCTCATCGCTGTGATCAGTGTTTTAACGTTTTAAAAAGCTTTGACAATATTAGTCCAGGCTGAGTGTCCAGACACTAGGGTCACACACATAACTATATAATATAATTATGAAGTGTTTGTTTACTCTGACAGACAGAGAGTAGGCAGTGAGGAGGAAGAACTCAGACAAAACTAAAAATATTTATTTATTCCAGCATCCTTTGCACCATTTTACAACATTACTGTCTACAAATATTGTTGTTTTTGTTTATGACTGTGTGTATGTTTACTGTTTTTTGTACACTGTGGTTTGTGTCTGTTTTTGTATGTACACCGAGAGTAATGTAAAACTGGAGTCAAAGTCCTCATACATGTCCATTAAAGTACTATTACGAGGAACGGTCCTGTATAGAAAATTTTGAAAAAACTTTTGTAAGTATAAATCTGGAAAATCTACTTAAAGTATTAGAATTTTTGTTAATTGTTAGATATTCTTTCAACAATTAACATTAACAATCAACATTTTTGAAAGCATTCTTACTTTACAACATTTTTCTCACGCCTGCCTAAAACTGTGGCACAGTACTGTGTGTGTGTGTATTTACACTACAGGTCAACCATTTTTCTATTTTTAGTTCAAGTCCAGTGAAAAACCTCAAATGGTAAAAAGGTAAGCAGCAAACTGCCAGAGTTAAAAACAATGTTTAGGTCACCAAAACATTTTCAGATATAATATTAACACTGCATGACTGTATGAAGGACATCAAAACGTGGATGAACCTAAACTTCCTCAACCTAAACGAAGACAAGACAGAGATCATAGTGTTTGGACACCCTGAACTGCTCAACTGTGAGGAGTCTTGGTGTTGTGTTGGATAGTGCGTTTAAATTTGATAGACAGATATCCGCCTCTGTTAGATCCTGCTTTTTCCAGTTGAGAACTACAGCCAAGATAAAAGGCCCATCTCCCTCCTAAAGATTTGGAGAGGGTGATTAATGCCTTCATAACTTCCCGCCTTGACTATTGAAACTCCTTATATGTGGGCTTAGACAAGTCATCTATTCAGCGCCTGCAGTTAGTCCAAAATGCTGCTGCCCGCCTCCTGACAGGAAAGAAGAAGAGGGACCACATCACACCTGTGTTGCGCTCCCTTCACTGGCTTCCTGTTCATTACAGGATTGATTTTAAAATCTTACTTTTAACTCTTAAATGCCTTAATGGATTGGCTCCATTGTACTTAATAAAGCTTCTTCATGTTCATACTCCAGCTAGAGTGCTGAGATCCGCCAATCTCCTCCTCCTGGATGCACCGAGAAGCAGACTTAAAACCAGAGGCGATCGAGCCTTTAGTGTAGCTGCCCCTAACCTGTGGAACAACATGCCAGTCCAGATCTTTGGCATTTCCTTCGAGTTAAGTCTGTTATTATTCCTTGCCATTTTAATATCACTATATATCGTATACTGTATATTATGTTTTATTGCTGTACTTTTACTGTCTTAGTAGTGTCTTGTTGTTGTATTTTAACCTGTGAAGCACCTTGGTCAAACTTGGTTGTTTTAAGTGTGCTATATAAATTAAATTGATATTGATAATATTAACAATTAAATGAAGTTACGTTAATTATCTCACTGTAGGATCAACTGATGACCAGCTGCTCTGTCTTCCTTCATTAGTTGCCTTTTAGGGCGCGTTAACGTATTAATTAACACCGACAATTATCTTCGCACATTCTTCTATTATCGCACATTAACGCAGTTTTTAAAAAAAAGCTCACTGGCTCTGAATACACGACACACACCGAACTAAGATCCTGTGGGACTTCAAGATCCAGACTGACAAACTGGTAATGGCTATCCAACCAGACATCGTGTATATCGACAAACAGCAGAAGAAGGCTGCAGTGATAGATGTGGCAATCCCAGGAGACAGCAACATCAAGAAGAAGGAACACGAGAAGCTTGAGAAATACCAAGGGCTGAAAGAGGAGCTAGAAAAGATGTGGAAAGTAAGAGCAACAGTGGTGCCAGTGGTAATCAGAGCACTGGGGGCTGTGACCCCCAAACTGGGAGAGTGGCTTCAGCAGATTCCAAGTAAAAAATCAGAGGTCTCTGTCCAGAAGAGTGCAGAAGAACAGCTAAGATACTGCTCAGAACCCTCAAACTCCCAGGCTTGGAGGACCCGAGCTTCAGGATGACACACACCACCACCAGGGGTGAGAGGGTTTTTTTTTTATGTTTATTTTTGTTGTGCACCGAGTCGCCAAACAAAACAAAGTCCATGTATGTGTAAAAATAATCCGATTATGATTTTCTTATTTGCAGTATTGTATAAATAACGTTTCTGAGGGTGTATTACCAGGCTGTTTTGAGGTGAAATGTGTTCTTCCATAAACTTTCAATGCTTGATTTACTTCCACTGAAAAATTTATATAGAAACAAATTGGGGTGTTTTGTAAAAAGGTTTTTTCCCCTGTTCACCAGTCACTGACCTTAAGAGCAAAAAGTTAATTTTGGACCCCGTCTTACAGTATTTAAAAAGGTTCTCAAAGCAGTAAAATGTGATTTATTCCCCGTGGATTAATCTAAAAGCTGGATTTTACTGCCATTAGTTGTTGAGCTAGAGCTCATTTTGAACTGTTTTTAATCAGACTGCAGCTATTTATTATATTCATATGGATCAAGTTACTGATTATTTTCTCCATTAAATCAGAGCTGCCAACTCTCAGGCACTGAGCATGAGACTCAATTGACACTTTTCACACGCCCTCACGCCATACATCCAATTTTCTCACACATTGGACTAATTGGCAACTAATGTAATGTTAGCCTATAATTGATAGCTTTGACCCGGTGTGATTACACTCCACCCAGCTGATGCAACACAGGCGGACGCAGAGACAGGAATAATGCGAACCCGCTCTAGCCGAGTGACAGTTACAGTGACAGTTTGTTATTGCGTTACGTAGCTTGTAGCTAGTTTTGCAATATAAAAATGTATAATCTAAAGCAAAGCCTTGCTCTGCTGTGAATGTGAGCTGCACAGAGCTGCTGAAATTAACATGTGAGGATTTGTGGTGAAGTTAGTTTTGTTTAGTTGTTAGTTGACTATAGGGCAGGGAGATTCTGAAAAATATTATGAATTGTGATTAAATAATGACATTCTCCTAAAAATCTTTCTGGAGATGTTGGATTATACAGATGTGTGGGATAGATGCAAACATTTTTAAAGATTCAGTCCAGTAGTTTCTAACTGAATTAAAATTAATTAATTCATCCTTGTGCTGAAAAGTTGCCACATTTAAAGAGGAACTTTCCCAAATAAAGACACAAAGAGGAGGGAGGACTAAATCACGAAAGAAAAAGAAATACAGAATGCTTGAAAGCCTACTGAATTATATTTTAAATGGTCACCTGCTGCCTGAGTTTACTGTTTCCGTTGACATAAATTGATACAGAAAAATTCACTAGAATGCAGAAAATTAAGTATTTAATGATAAAAATTTCCTCCCCCAGACCCCCCTGTTAAATAAGTGGCTCCTACATTGCAAAAGGAAAACCTACGCTCTTGCTCATTATAAACTATAATATTCCATACATTCTGCAGAATTTAAAGAAATACAGTCTCTGGTTTGACACACAGATTCTGGGGGGGCAAGGTCAAACTTAAGGCTATCATGTCTGGAGGTTGGCAAGTATCCTGATCACACTGATCTGACCATGATTATTGACTTGGCTTTTCATCTACACATGCTGCTGAACTTTTAAAACAAAAGTCCTGAGGATTAAAGAGTGATGACCCCGACCCCTGCTGTGAGATGTGACACAGAAGGCTGAAAATGAACCGACCTCCAACAATCTCAAACAAACAAACTCTAAACTAAACTGAAAAGTTGGCAGTTCTGATTAAATCGACTGACTGATTGGTTTGTAAAGATTCTGGAAATAGTGAGAAATGCCCTCATAGTTACCCAGAGCCCAAAGTGACACAATGCTTGTTAGTGTTAAACCAAAAACAGAAATAATAATCTACCAACCAACCAGAGCTTTAACTAAAAATACAATTACAAAGACTAACATTACTAAATTTCAGCTGAATATTAAAAACAGTCTGACTGTGCCTGTGTAACTTAGATAACACAAAATAAACAGTGGTCTAAAATTTACATAAACTAACATGTAAGTTATGAGAGTAACGTAAATACTCAAGTTAAAGCACAAGTAACGTTACCTCAAAATATTACTTAAGTAACGTTACAGTAAATTAACGTTGGTTAATTTCCACCACTACAAACAGTCACAGTGGAACATTTGACTTAAATACCAGAAAAGCCTCAAGCAAGCAAAGTAGGAGTTAAATAAGTAGACAGACAGAAAGAAGGAGTTTATTTTACTCACCGTGTTTGAAGAGAAGACGGAAGTTGTTCATTTGCACTTGTCGTTGCAGCCGCCATTTTGAGTCCGGCCGCGTTCGACACATTACCGAAAAAACTAGCTAAAACTTTCGCGGTTCTTTCATTAGCGTGAGAAATTTATGAAAGTAATGGTTTGTTGTGAAATGGATCTTTCACGGTGAATCGACAGTGAACCCGCCCGCCGGACTGACTGACTGACTGAGACCATTATCTAATCAAACAGGTGCCGACTTCACCTGGTTTTCCTCCTGGCTTCCTCTGCTAGAGCTTGCTGTAGGACTGCAATACCCCGTTTGACCGCACACAATCACCGATACTTACAACGTGTTTTAATCCAGGGGGCGCTGTTTCACAATTTAGATGAAGCTCAGTGACAAGTGGCGATGAGATTATGCCACAATAATACAAAATGAGGCCATTTAAATACTGTTATTTGGCAAGTAAATTATTAGTTTTATTACAAATACCTGGATAAAAAAAGAATTGAGCTTATTTGTCTCCCTGAAAACACAAAGAAATACTGTGGACAAGTGGTCTGACTCAGGCAATACCATCGTGTGTGTCCTCTTGTCTAGTAAGAGGCCATTCCTCTCTTTTCATGGGATTTGTGAATGAAAGAATATAGATAATGACAAAAAAGAGGGAGGACAGATGAAAGGAAGGACTTTCATCTCAAACAAATGCAGTAAAACCGTCCTGTTCTTCCCTTTTCATCCTTTTCTCACATCATTTTGTTTAGTGTTTCTAGACTGTTCTGTTTTTATGTTATTGGGCAGGTAAAAAGCACAGCTTTTTATAATTAGACGTGTTTTTGTACTCCAACAAAATGTTGTTACTGCCCCACGTCTTCTCCATTTAGCAGTGGTGGTGGGCTTACTTGTATTTTACTTGAGTCTTTCTATTGTATGCTGCTTAACGCCTACTTCTACCCCACCATATCTCAGAGGCGAGTACTTTTTATATCACTACATTTGTTTTAACAGCTTTTCTTACTAGATACTTTTCAGATTATAATTTTACATATACATCTCCTTCCTGCCCAGTGAAAACCACACATCTCCAGGTTGAAGCGTTCCTTTATGGGCTGAGAAAATTCCCCTCCTCCATACATCCATCTTCAACTGCTTATCCAGCAGCTCCAGCAGCTCCAGCAGGGGACCCCAAGCCTCCCTTTCCCGAGCCACATTAACCAGCTCTGATTGAGGGATCTGGCAGCGTCTCCAGGCCATTGTGAAAATAGAATCTCTCCACCTAGTCCTGGGTCTTCCCCGAGGCCTCCTCCCAGCTGGACGTGCCTGGAACACCTTCCTAGGGAGGCGCTTAGTGTGCATCCTTACCAGATACCTGAACCACCTCAACTGCCTGTTCTTCCTCCTCCTTCAGCTGAATAAACTCTTTAAACCTCCTTGGATCAGCTGGAAAATGCATCGTCACAAAGCTGAAAACAGGCTTTTTTTCTGACTGTTTAGAGACACAAGGTCCTCACAGGACAGCCACGCTACAAACACATGGTGATCTTATAGACCATGATGCATTGCAGCAGATTAAACTACCCAACAGGATATAAAGGAGTTAAAATGAGCTCAACCTTAAACATCTACAGCAGTAAAATGCAACATCCACATTAATGCAGCAGGAATATTAATCCAGATATGTAAGAGAAACATTGCCTTATACATGTAGTGGAGTATTTTCACAGTGTGGTATTAGTACTTTTACTTAGCCTCTGTAAAGGATCTGAATACTTTTTTCCACCACTGCAAATTAGTATAATTGAAGCTTGACATGCAGTGACTGATATGACAGATAAAACCAAATGCCATTTAAGTTTATTACAACAAGGCTAAAACTTTCCCCTTTTCAAAGTGTTATTCGGTCAACTTTGTCATAAAACCCTTAAAAGCTTACATCTGAAGACTTTTCATGTTGAATGTAATCATGTTATCATGATATTCATGGGTGTGCCTTCACCTAACTGTATTATAATGTAACAACCAATAAACTAATACTAATATAATACACTAATAAAACACAAACATTTGAAATAAAAACACAACTAACTTTGTGTCAGACAAATCTGGTGATGCTGCTCATTGCCTCTTTACTTCTTTCTATTTTGTGGGCATTTTGGATAATAACAAATGACAGGAAATGAGGAGGATAAGGGTGGAAACAAAATCCAACAAACATCTCTGGCTGGAAATGAAATGAGGACGTTGAAATTACATGGTCGGAGGTCTTCGACTCTTATGTCACTGATCTGCCGTCACTTCCTGCATCTTTCTACTATATCTAATAAAGGCATAACATAATAATAATAAACTATATTTGAGAGAAAATACAAAGATAGTAGCTCCACTACCTTTTCCAGAACACTACACCTTAAGGTTATTTACATATATATGTATATATATATATATGTTGTATACATTTTATATTTTAGACATTTTTCTGGAATCAATTTTCCTCTCTGTAGATTAAACACATTTTACACTAAAAATAAATAAATAAATAATTACAAATACGTGAACATCAACAAGTGAGGCTGGATGTTGGACGAGGAGAAAAGGCTGCAGTGGGACTCAGTATGAAGACAAAATTTGTTTTTATTAAAGATCTCTATATCAGGCACTATAGTTATCGTTATCGTTAAAACACGGCGAAGCGGCTACCTGGGTCACATGGTACACAGCTGAGGTTTGGAAATGAAAGACGACAAAATACCTGCAGACAACACAGTGCAGAGTACAAAGGTGTGATATAAAAGAAAGAAAAGGAGCTTCCTGCTCACTTATAATAACAGTAACAGTGATGATAGAAATACAGTAAATTAAAGACTTAAAGTAACTAACAGATACATTTTCCTTCATGTCAACCATCTGTTACTGATTTTTACAGTGTGAATTTAACTCAGGGGGGGAAATAAATCAGTAAATCAATTAAAATCTCATTAAATACCAAAACCATGTCTGTAATAATTTTCTGTTTTTGTGGTGAAAAAGTGAAATACAGCGTTAAGTTGCTACTGCAGTTCACAGCTTAGCATATGGCTTTAGATAGAAAATCTCAGACAGAAAGACAACAACAGCTCGTTAAGTCTCATAAAAATACACAAAAATGCTACGGTGAAGCTACATTTTCTTTGGAGAGTACGGATGATTCATGGGAAATCCAGATACAGGACAAAAACGATAGATTTTACACAATTTACACAGCAGGAACCTTGTTAATACTGTAAATAATAATAATCAGTAAACAGAAAAAAAAGAAAGAGTTGAGTGCAGACAGAAATCTGATTCATGAAGCTACATCAGTAGTTCCTGCTCCTGTCTCTCTACATTCATGGCGTCACACAACTCATTTTTACTCACGGTCTGTCATGTGTTTTCCCAATTCCTCTAAATGTCACATCATGCTGTAAAATCCAACTGAAGGCCAGAATTCACCACACTTTCTTTGGAAACAGGTGTTTGTTGATAAGTATGCTGTGTGGAGAACATTAGTTTAAACAAGGTCAGACATTTGCTTTTCATCTTAATGAGAGTAGCAGTACGGAGCCCCTGAGGGGACATGAGCAAAAACATGGTTTCTACAAGCTTCTGGTGCACACCACATAGTTGTCCATGGGCACCAGGTATTTTCTCAGGCTTAAAAGAAAGTATGTTGTGTGCAGGAGTGTGTGGTGTTCCATTACCAGTGTAGAAATGACAGCACAGAATGTAGCTCAGCCACATTCAGTGAACTCTAAAGGGTATATGTGCAAAATCGTCTTTGTTCATAAGTTACTTGTGTGGTAGTGAAATAGTTTTAATGTGCACAAAGACAGTTTGTGCACATGTGCACAGATAGTTTGTCGTGCACAAAGACAGTTTGTGCACATGTGCACAGATAGGTTGTCGTGCACAAAAACAGTTTGTGCACATGTGCACAGATAGTTTGTCGTGCACATAGATAGTTTGTGCACATGTGCACAGATAGTTTGTCGTGCACAAAGACAGTTTGTGCACATGTGCACAGATAGGTTGTCGTGCACAAAGACAGTTTGTGCACATGTGCACAGATAGTTTGTCGTGCACAAAGACAGTTTGTGCACATGTGCACAGATAGTTTGTCGTGCACAAAGACAGTTTGTGCACATGTGCACAGATAGTTGTCGTGCACAAAGACAGTTTGTGCACATGTGCACAGATAGTTTGTCGTGCACAAAGACAGTTTGTGCACATGTGCACAGATAGTTTGTCGTGCACAAAGACAGTTTGTGCACATGTGCACAGATAGTTTGTCGTGCACAAAGACAGTTTGTGCACATGTGCACAGATAGGTTGTCGTGCACAAAGACAGTTTGTGCACATGTGCACAGATAGTTTGTCGTGCACAAAGATAGTTTGTGCACATGTGCACAGATAGTTTGTCGTGCACAAAGACAGTTTGTGCACATGTGCACAGATAGGTTGTCGTGCACAAAGACAGTTTGTGCACATGTGCAAAGATAGTTTGTCGCGTACAAAGACAGTTTGTCATTTGCAAAGATAGTTTCTCATGTGCACAGATAGTTTGTCGTGTGCACAGATAGTTTGTCGTGTGCATAAGATTGTTTCTCGTGTGCACCAGATAGTTTGTTGTGTGCAGCAGAAAGTTTGTCATGTGCACCAGATAGTTTGTCACATCTGGAAACTTCAAAAATGTTTTTGTTTCCTTTAGGGGGTCACGAAATATCTTTTCATTTTAGGTTTATGCAGCTACAGCTCTGTGTGTAAAACAAGATGATTCTTCTTTTGTTGTTTGTGAGTCTTTTTGAGTTTAGCAGAAAAATCTATTAGAAAAGAATAATGAAACTTGAAAACACTGTTTCTGCACATTCTGCCTAAGGGGAAATAAATAATGTTTTACATTCATAGTTTGTTTTCAGTCAAACTTTGCTAAAGATCTGGTTTGTACTCCTGCTCAGTTCAAACTCAAACACCAACACAAATCAACAACACAGATACACATATATCGACACAAATCAAAATCTTCCACGAGGAGCTGCGCGAACAAAAAATGCTACAGCAGCGTACAGCAACATTCAAGTTTACCACATAACATGGTGATCAAAGACTGTCCCACAGCTGAACCTGAGGAGGAAAAGATGTATTTACAACAACAGTCAGTTCACACAGAGAACAGAATCAGCCGCAGACTGAAGTTCGGCTGTTTCACTTTTCATCGGCAGCGACATCACTCAGCCTTGTGGCTGTTGCTAAGCAACATGTAGGTAATTTTTAGACTGTTGAAATGGCGGCGGCGGTGGAAATCTGGAGACAACGTTTCTGATACAGGATGAATCATGTTTGATTTCTATTGTTAACTCTGCTGCGTGGAAGAAAAGTAATTTAGTCTCAAATTCAGCCTTTGAAAGTTATTTTACTTACAATAATCACACCTTTTGTTTCACAGTGCTGCTTCCCTTGTTTCAAGAACTTTCTAGTGGGAGTATGTAGAAACAAGAAAGAAGACGCTTGATTCTTGGCCAAACTCCTCACACTCACCTCTCCCTGTTTAAAATCCTGCATGATGATTCTTATATGCCGCCATACTGACTGGCTATATAATCAGTTTGCCTTGTCCAAAGTCTGGTGTGCATTGTTGTTAGCCATAATGCATTTTTATTATCACTTGTTCCATATCTGGCTCCAATAACTCACAGGAAGGTGGCAAAGTAAACCCAAACTCCAGGCTTTAAGACAATCTTTCAGAAACCTCTGACAACAGGTTTTGACAAAAAGGATTTTTATACCAACTTGGTTTGAAAACAGCTCTGATTCAGTAAATATACATAAACCCCGGCTTGTTCCAGGTCTGCTGTCCAGACCCCCCCCTTTTAATCTGGCACACAGCACCTGTATTAACAGCTTGAGCAGCAAGTAAAGAAAATACTACGTGTACCGGCAGCATTGTAAACAACTCAGACTTACAAACACATTTAACATTGCTGAAACAAATCCAGATGGAAAAGTTACTGTTTGTGTCTTTGCCAAGAAAATCTGCGAAAAGATAAAATAAAAATGCACCGCAACAACATCTCCACCTGCTGCTGCTGCTGCTGTTTTTAGCTGATAGAGAGTGGGTTTTCCTGCCCTTTGCCCTTTAAAACAACACCTGCATACCCAAATGAAACACAGCTATAGATCACCATTCTGAAGTTAACCCCAATCAGATTACAGGAGTGAAGTGAAGAAAGCATTTCAGTTGCACAGTAACCTGCATAGGCTTATAGGCTGAAGAAAAGTTTCAGCTGAACCAAACATGGCTGGTTTAACCATAGATCTTTAAACTGAGGATAACAATATGAGTTGCATGTTAAATTCATAGACAGACGGATACATTGCATTGATGGCAGAGTATCTGAAAAAGGCAGGTCGAACCTGTGCTACACTTTGAGGGAAACAGCTATTCCCAAACTAAATAGTTCCTCTATACTTTTAGGCTGCAGATCCCACTGCTGGACAGAAGTAAAAATAAAAACAACACACTTATCTTTCCACTTATCTGGCCTTATTGCTTGCTTAAAAATAAAACACAGAACTAAGACTTAAAAGCTGAATTGGTGATTGTATCACAACAAAGTCCAGAATTTAGCTCAACTGTGAAACCTTCGCATAGAGAAATAAGAAATATAGGGAAATAACTTTTATTGTGTCTTTACTGAAGTTACCTGTCAGCTCTGAGGTTTTCTTGACTATCTAAACTGGGTTGAAACTGAGTAGAATCTGATTTTTTCCCCATCATTTACACATAAACACACACGTGTCTCTGCTGGCCAGATCACAAATCTGATTACTATCTGTCTTTTGAGTTCTGGGCTGCATGTAAATCAGGGTCCGGCTCTCGTCTCAAAGCTCCTCCAGAGGTCGTTTCAACAATCAGATTTCAATCCGTCCTGAATGCTTCTGGGATGCATTAACACTCAGAGCCCGAGATGCAAGAAGTGAATCAGCATCAATGGGGTCACAAGCATCCTACTTTATTCACATGGTCTAGATTTTGTCCTCATTACTGCTGAAGGCAACATTTGAAAGGCCTCTGGGCTTCGGCCACGTGTTGTTTTCATCCTGGAGCAATCATCTGTCACTCGTCTTCAGTGTTTACTGAGCAACAACATGTCTGTTTGACACTCAGTGATCAGGTTATAGCTTTAAAACTACAACATCCTTTCATTAGCTTCTTAATTACATTCAAAGACTTGACCATGCTGTAGTTGTTGAGAGGCTTGTCTGTTGCCTTATACCGGGCAGACACTGTAGCGATTAAACACGTTTTTAAATGTGAATTGGTGGCCCCTGAATGATTCTACCATTCGGCTGAGTTTCTGTTAGATTGTTTGTTGTTTGACGTTCAGTTTGAGGTCACAACGCCTGATTAACAGCCAGAAAAATCACAGATCTGGCTGTTGGACAACTGTTTGGATGTCTTGCAGTTTGAGTGGCTGTTATAAACAGTGGTGAGCTTGTTTTAAATATTATTAGAGTAGTATTTTACATCCTGATGCTCAGACATCTTCAGTCAGACTGTGATAGAAATAAAACTGACCAAACTGTCGGCATCTTTCAGTGGGTCCATGTTTTTCTTTTAACTTTGTACTTGCTTTTCATTGTAGTTTTTTTTTAATAGTTAATTGTTTTGCAAAGACTTTAATTTAAATATAATTTCATTGCAATCATGTTCACATTCAGTGTGAGCAAAAAATAAAACTCATACGTTTTGTCCGTGCAGAAAGGATGAATGAAATGTGTAGCGTGAGAAAACGCAACAGTGTCAGTGCACAGCTCTAGTTGAAGCTGGTTTGCTCCCTCAAGTTAAACCCAAATGAGGGCGTCACACATCAGGTTAAAGGTGAAGGATTGTCTTAATGCTGCCAGTTTACAGGAGCAGTGAAAGATTTTAAAATACAACCAGGTTAAAGTTGACAGAACCCAAACATCACTGTAATCCACCTGTATATTCCATTACAGGTTAGATAATGTTGGGATCCAAAGCTTTGTCCTGTTTCAAGGGTTATTTCTTTGTGCATAACGTAAACTGTAGGTGCAAAAGTACATCCACATACTTTTGGTCATATAATTTTAGAATAATAAAACCATTTAGGATGAAAAATATTTTTGGTTGAAAGACTTTTGTTTTACTCTCAACATCCAAATTATGTCCCATTTTCACTCATACTATCAAACAAAATTTAGCCTTAAACTGAACCAATATGACTGCAGGCAGTGGTGGAAGAAGTACTTTACTCAAGTAATACCACACTGTTAAAAATACTCCACTACAAGTAAAAGTCCTGCACTGAAAATGTTCCTGAAGTAAAAGTATGCGAATATAATCAGGGAAATGTCCTAAAATATTAAAACAGTAAAATGTCCTGTTATCTCTCCTCTCATCAGATTCTTCTTCCTCCTCATTAATGTGAAGCAGGACGTTGCTGCTGTATTTGTTGAGCTGCAGCTCAGTCTGAACAGTTTCAGACTGCAGCTGATGATCCTTTTCATTCTGGATCAATCTGCTGATTATTTCCTCCATAAAATCGATTGTTTGGTTTGTAAAGATTCTGCAGTCACAGTTACCCAGAGCCCAAAGTGACTCCCTCACAACGCTCGTTGTGTCCAAACCTCAACATTTTTAACAAACATTACAGTTATTACAATCACTCAGATTTAATTCATAACAAAACATCATATTTTAGAAACTATTTATGTGTTTTGTATGTAAAACTCTTAATTTGTAACCAACTCAAGCTGTCAGATAAATGTAGTGGAGTATAAGTATTAAGTAGCAGTAAATGGAAATACTCAAGTTACAGTATCTCACAGAGTGAGTACACCCCTCACCGTTTTGTAAATATTTGATTATATCTTTTGTGTGACAACACTGAAGAAATGACTCTTTGCTCCAGTGTAAAGTAGTGAGTGTGCAGCTTGTATAACAGTGTAAATCTGCTGTCCCCTCAAAATAACACATCACACAGCCATTAATGTCTAAACCGCTGGCAACTAAAGAGAGGACACCTCAGTGAAAATGTCCAAATTGGGTTAATATTTTGTGTGGCCACTATTATTTTCCAGCACTTAAACAAATGAAAACATTTTTTTGGTACTTGAATAAAAGTCACTTTCCACCACTGCCTGCAGTCGATGATTTGCCACCGCATTGAAAGAAACTCTGATTTCTCTGTACCAGAGTACGAAGCTGTGTCTCGTCTTTGTTTTGGTTTGACGGGAAAGGTCCCGTAACATTTGTTCCCAGTCTGACCTCCAGCATCAGGGTCTGTGGTTTGTTCCTGCTGCCGTGGTTCAAAGAGCTCTCACATCATTAACCAGGAAGCGGTTTGGAGTCCCAGAAGCAACAGGAGCCACTAATGGGCCCTCTGATGAGTCAACAGTGTATTTGAATACATAAATAAATGATAAAGTTAAATAATTTAAAATAACCTCTAATCAAGTCGATTTAAAAATTGAATCTCCCTTTTACTGTTTTACTGGCTCTTTTTTATTTTTTCACCATTTTACTTTTCCTCATTTTCATGCAGCAATTTTTCCATTTTTCATTTTCCTTGTTGTTGAAATACAGAAATAGAAGTACATTTACTCAAGTACTGCATTCTCCTGAAATTCTGAGTGTTTCCATTTTGGGATATTTTCTAAATTTAAAGTAAAATAGTAAATTGTTTACTCCGCTACATGTTTGTGTCAGCTGGTTGTTAATCTACAGATTCATGTTTTATATTAAAACATGCAATAAACTCATAATACACATTACTGTAGCTGCAGTATAAACCAGTGGTTTGACTCAATTACAAAATTATAGTACTTTTAACAAGCTAACACATTAATCACTTAACACTTTGAGAGTACTGCTAAACATTTTAATTTAATTTACATTTGAATATTCCTTTTTATATGTACAAATATATCAGTTAATTTGCTTTATGTTTTAATTCTGTTTATTGTATGTTACTTTTACTGATGGATGCTGCAAATAAAGCGCTGAACTATTTTTGATTCATCCATTACTTATTATTATATTTTCATCAGTAATACTTCTTTACTTCTACTAAAGTAAAAATCTGGACTTGAATCTGAGTACTTTACCACCACCGGTTACATGATAATGAAAAGAAGAAAAAATAAAGAGCCAGTAAAAGATAAAACGGGAGCATAAAATAAATAAATTGCTTATTTATTTACCGTAAAACTTCAATTAATAGCCCAGGCTTTTATTAATTTACTCACCCTGCCTATATCTGAGACAGACACCTTTAATTCCTTTCACACAAAACTCCTGCTATGCCATAATCAAATAGTTTATGTTCAACCAGTATGACAATTACTTGTATAAAAATCTCTTGCTGTCTCTCTTGTTGAACATACCGGTTAAATCTGATATGTCTCTTTAAAATTAACTGAATGACTGAATTATGGAGAATCTAACGAACTGAACTGTGGCATTGTCCATACAGACGAAAGTTTTAACATTAATATTTGAATGTGCAATCTAAGCAGCTTAGAAGTAGCTCAAGAGGGCAACTGGTGGGCTTCAGATAACACTCTGACGTCAAAAGGCAAAAACTCTGGTTTTACTGTCTACACGACAACACTGCAACCGGAGTTTCTTAAAATTTTCACCCTGGCAGGAGTTTTCAGAAATGTTCGGTTTCAGTGACCTTCCGTGTTTACGAACGGCCAAAACGCATAGAAAACGTCACGGTTTTGAAAATACCCATGTTCGTGTAGACAGAGGTTTTACACATCTAAAGAACTTCTATAAAAACTAGACCAGGCTTCTAATTAAGACCTGTGTTTTTTTTTGTCAAAACAAGTGGCTACACCAGGCCAGTAAAAGGGACTAGGCTTTTAATTGAAGTTTGACGGTAAGCAACTCATTATGTATTTGAGCCCTGCAAGTAAACTTTACTCTACAGTTTGTCGTGTCGTTAACTGCATATGTAAAGACTGTCATTTAAAAAACCAAAAGATTCCGTTGTTAGCAGCCTCTGACAAACATCGTTTCCAGTATGGATTTACAACTTCTAGACCTTTGCTGGTTAAATGTCACCAACTCCACAGAAAGCGGCCAGTAGTAAAGTCTAGGCTGTAATGGGTTGGGATAGTTGGGATGCATACACGATGGCCACAGCGTCCCCAGCCGAGGACTTCTGCCGGACATTTGTCCAAAAATAATCTTAGAAATATGACTGTAACAACAGTAGGACGACAGCAGAGATTACAGCTACAAAAGATGCAAAGATGTCTGAAGAGAGAGCTGGTGGATATCACGATATGGGAGAAACATTATGAGCACAGGAGGGAAAACAAATCATGATATCTATTTGTTTTTTGATGGAAACAAATTAATCGTTTGACTTTGTTAATCGCACACAAGAATTGTAAAGTGCTCTAGAAGACACTCATTTACCTTGTAATAAGTAAAAAGAAACTTGGGTTTACATCAATCAGAAAGATCTACTAAAGAAACCCTTGATGAAAGATTGCACTGAGTCACAGAAGCTAGAGGAGCAGCAGCTAGCATTCATGGCTACTGGGACTCAAAGGGAAAACTATCGTAATAGAAGAGCTACAGTTCAGACTGCAGTAAGGAGCAGTTCAGTGTCAGTCCTGGAGTTCGACTGACTTTTCCTGACACATAATTCCTTGAACCATCTATCACAGCACAGGTGTGATTATAATAACCCTTCGTCACGACTCTAGCACTAGAAGAAATGCTGATTATAATCTGAAGACTCGACTCAGCAGGGTCCAGGAGTCCCCTACTGATCCAGTTTGTTAGAATCAGAGGAAACAGTCCTGATGTTTCTGCTGAAATCTATAGGCAACAGGGTGGATTTGCCCTCGTCCTCTTTTCATATTTCAGATCAAACCACACCAGGCAGCAGCGCGGTGGCGTCCTCAACCAGTTAGGTCGTCTTCGCCCACCAGCTTCTTCCTAAGGGATTGAATTTCGTCAGGTGGAAACAGATTTCTGTTTCGTCTTAATGTTCTCGATCGCGGCGTCGCACCGGCACTGCGAAAAGTGGCAGGGTCCTTGTTGGCGACAGCTCGGGGTCAGAGTTTGTCGCGAGGGTGTCTTCGGCCTTGTTGCCGCGCCGATTAGAGGGCCCGGCGGACAGGTCTTGGCACACTTCGTAGGAACATTTCCTCTTCTGGAGAGCCTCAGCTCGGACGGCCAGGGAGCGCGCACACACTGTGAGGAGCACGATGAGCGTGCCCAGTAGGAGAGACACCATTGGCCAGAGGACACAGTGCAGCAGGACGCTGGTGTCGTGGGAACGGCGCCACAACACGTCGTCTGGCCTGAAATCACAAGTAGAAAAAATTAATTTAAAAAACAGCAGAATTAACAGCTCAAGTTTCATTGCTCTAAACTCAATAATGGTTTTATATTTTGTTTTTCAGTATTTAATTATTTCCAGTTGCTTCTACTTTTTTTGATCACTGCTTATTTACTGCTCGTTTTTTTTCATATTAACGTAGCTAAACTAACTGCAATCCAACAGCTAATGGGAAGAAACCAGTCCTTCCCCTTCCGGTGGAGCACCATGCAATATTATATACCGCAGTCCTTTAGCAACAGCGCCATCTAGTGGAGTTGTGGTGGTAATGCACAGCAACACGAAGGAGGTTAACCCTGTCTGATAGGTGCGCGGCTATAGATTTAACCGGTCGACATGAATATTATCAATAACTTTAGGCACACACCCTGTGATGGTTAGAGTAAGGGTCCTAGGATTAGGATTCCTAGGACCGGAACTGCAGTTGTTGGACCCTTGTTTATTTTGATACCGCCAGCTAGCTGGCTGGCTAATTAGCTAGCTGTGTACTCTTGACAGCCCCAGTTACCCTTACCCTAACCATCAGGACAGCAGGATACTACTCCCACCATGGGACCTTACTTCGGAAATAATATGTACAGTAGGGGAGAGCGGGGTGAGATGAGCCAGTTTTTACTTGAGGTGTCTTTAAAGTGAGGACATGACAGTAATGTCTCCAACTAAAACATGTATTTTAGGATGTGGTGCATCTCTGGGAATAATCAATTTGGATCTAAAATAAACTGTTTTCAAAATATGGCTTTCCAAAGAAAAAGTGGATTCTTGGCTCAACTTGCCCCATATGAGGTGTAAGTTGAGCCACATGGGGTTTGGGGACAACAATGTCATTTTGTTGTGCAAACTCAAACGGCAGGTCCCAACAGTTAATTGCACTTAGATAGTGAAACACTGCAGCTGTGTCTCCTGGTTGTTTCATATCAGTATATCACTTTAAAGTCATCCTGTTTACCGTCATGTCCCGTGCCACCCGATGAATTGACTTCTTATTTGTGTACCTCTCCAATAACTCTGTCCAAACCCACAACAGGAGTTGAAGCCTGTCTGTCTTCCATTTATAGAAGCATGACATGATGGTTTCTGGTCTAAAATGCATAATGTCACATCATTTCGTGATTCATAAGAATGCAATTTAAAATTACTGTGAAATATCTTGCTCAACTTCCTCTAGGTCTTTAGGTCAAATTACCCATCCTGCCATTTTAACAAATTCGTGTCATCCAGCTGTTTAAGGGTAACGTCATGCTAACAGTATGGCCTCATACTGTAACTTCCTAAAACTCTAACACATGCGTAAGATTTTCTCAAACCTGTCTGTAATTGTTCAGACACAAGAATCAGGACTCACTGAACATATAAAAATCCCTTTTTTTTTTTTACTTAAATGTGCTTATAACTTATTCCATGGGCCTGTCGCCACCACATGGTGAGTAAAAGGGATGACTCTTCAAAAATGTGTTTGTCTATGGCTGCCAAGAAACAAGGGGTGGCTCAACTTCCCCACAGGCTCAAATCAGCCAGCTCTCTCCTAGTCATCGACAAGAGACAACTAATTCTTTGATCCCGTTTAAACTGTTCTCTGAATTACACACATGATGATGGTCAATTTAAAATATACATTTAAATGTCAAGAAAGTTGCAGTTTGATGTAAAACCACTGAGGTGTAAGACTGCGAAAATACGTAATTACAAAGACCACAAACCAAAAAGTCGCGTATGTGACGTCATAACTTTTTCTCTCAATGACTGAAGCAAACGTTAAAGAACTGCCATGTGTGGATGATCTGATAAAAGGGCCGAGAGTAGTTGGATTAAACACTTCAGGTGAGATATATTTCTGCGTGGAACATAGCTAAGTTATCTAGCTAGCAGCAACCAAGCAATGAACGTCAGCTAGCATTACAGCGCTAACATGTTGCAGACGTATATTGTGCGAGACAAGAGATGTGGTTCATTGAACGGTTTTCACACAAAACAATATTGACAAACATCATGTGTGTAATTCAGGGCTCAGTTCAAACATGATCAAAAAATAAGTTGCCTCTCGCCGTTGACTACCTCACATAAATAAGGTCTCATGGGCCGGAAGCAGAAGCGAGTGACTTAGTGGGCTAAAATATTACAGCACCGTAGCATGGCGAAATTACTGGTAATCAAATATATCACTGTATATAACCTCTACTAATAAACATAACATTAGTGGACTAAATTCTTTGTGGTGCAACATCAGCTATCCCTGCAGAGTTGTACACATAGAGAACAACCTACTGCTCAACGTCAGCAAAAACAAGGAGCTGATTGTTGGTTTTAGGAAAAGGAAGAAAAAGACACACACTGCTGTCTAAATCAGTGGGGCTGAGGTGGAGCAGGTGAACAGTTTTAGTTCCTGGAAATCAACATCACAGAAAACTTGACATGATCACATCAAAGAAGCTTAGAAACGGTTGGATTTCTTAAGGAAACTTCAGAAGCCAAAATCCTGTGTCATGTTCTTGTCAGCTTTTACGGAGGAGCAATAGAAAGCATCCTGACTGGAAACATCACTAACTGGCATAGGATGTGCACGGCCCAGGACCCGAGGGCTCTGCAGCGAGTGATGCTCAGAACATCATTGGTACCAATCTCCCGAGCATCAGTGAAATCGGTGAGGTGCCTACGCAGAGCCCAAAGGATACTAAAGGACAGTACCCAGCACATCTCTGGGTCATCCATCCTCTCAATCTGCAGCACTTTATTGATTGGAACCAGTTACCTACAGTAACTGTAACTGCTTACCGTGATGACGGTCACTGAGCTGCTGAACCTTTCTTCTCTGTTTTTATGGCTTTTACGTTTGTTGCTTCATACTTGCTGTCCTGTGTGCTTGGTTGATGCTTGTTAGTACTATGCTGTTGATCTTTGCTATACTTCCTTTGTGGCTGAATCACTTTTAAAGTCCGACCAGGCCGTTATTATAAAGAAGAATTGATTCTTAACTGACCTGCCTGTTCACCCTGCTGCCGTCTGCCAAGAGTGTGTATGAGAAAATATAAATGCAATCTGCAGCAGGCACTAAACTTGCACCAAAACAAACTACATTCAAAAAGGAAATGATGATTAATGCACCAGGCTATCTGCTGTCGTACCACCAGTCTACAGAGCAGCTTTTCCCCTCAGGCTGTGAGACCCATAAATGCATCCTCAGCACTGCACAGTCCTTTATTTCTGTACATAACATTTGCTTTTTGTGAGTAGCATAAAGGGAACTACAAATTTAATCTCATAAGACAACACTGTGTTGTAAAATCACAAATAAATCTACCTTTGCACGAGGCATAAAGCTAACATTACATTGGCCAATTACACTTCTGTGAGGGCCGTTGTTACCCCATGCTGCCTCTCCCTCTATGGAGTACAAGGCAGCCTTGTGTAATACTAAAACTACAGAGCTGCATTTGGATTGCATTTCTTACAAAAGGTTCAGGAGAATAACTTTCATGCCACATCTGAAACAACCTCATATATCAAGTGACTAACTGTGTTTTCCTCACCTTAAAAAACCTTTCTGAGTGCTCCAGTTCTTTTTAAAATACAACAGAAAAGCTTTTCTGTCGCCTCGACGAGCTCCCGCTGGGGCCCTCATTTATGAAGAGTTTCCTCATTCTGATTCTTTCTGGTGCAGAGATAAAAATAAAACCAGCCAAGGTCACAGGTAAGCACTGTCTGTGAGTAATAGGAAGATTAAGCTGACACGCTAAAGGAGATCTCTCTTCTTTTATTTCCAGTCTCATCAATTTTCGATCACAGCATTATAAAAAAAAAGGGAGCTTGCTCCTTCACAAGGCCGCAGAACCTGGATAAAAAGAAAAGGAGAGCTTCTTTCATCTTTGACAATCTGCAGCTTTTTAATAAAGTGTATCTCCAGGTTCTGGAAGAACCTTGAGTTTCAAGTGGTACAGAGAATACTGTGCATTAATCATCATTTCCTTATTGAATTTAGTTTGTTTTGGTGCAAGTTCAGGACCAGGTGCAGATTGTAGTCATAGTTTGAGTGTGATATTTCTTATGCATACAGAACAGTTCCGACGTGAGAGGAGCAGCTGAAGCGTTTTATCACCACTTTATGTTTATGCTCATCAGTTTGAAGTACATCAAGTTTGTTTCTGAGAAATGTTGTTTGGTATAGGGCTGGGGGCGATATGGCCCAAAAATGTTGTCAAATCATTATTTCTTTCAAGTTTAAAGGCAAATTTTTGTCCCTGAATGAAAATTGAAGGGCCAGATGGTTAATTGTGAGGCTAGACTATACTTTATGGTCAGAACGTGACAAACTGCAGATCTCTTCTCATATCTGAGGTAAAACATTCAAAACTATTATGATAAAATCTTTTCTTTAAAAAATATGATTAGTAATCTTTTTTCAGCCCCTTTTCCTCAACAAAATAAACATCTTAATAGATAAATTAAGCACTAATTCATTCGTGATTCTAATGAATTAAATCAAATATTAACTGACAATCTATTGAACATTTGTTTTATTGTCATTGAGGAAAATTATATTGCGGTAATTATCATTATTGTTTTATTGCCCAGCCTTAGTTTGGTATTGAAAATATTGCAAGTACTATTATTCTATTCACAAGCCTTAAGTTGTGTATTCTTCAAATGAAGTTACCCCTCCTCCACACCTTTCCTTACCTCTGCTGTGTCGGGCAGTTCTTGTGACTTTCCAAAACTCCTCTAAAACTGTTTGGACGACACTTCATACTAGTTTATTTGAAGCATGTGGAACTCTTGTTATGGAAAATAAGCCAACCAAAGGTGTAACTAAGGACATTCACTCAAGTACTGTCTTAGGTAGTATTTTCAGTGACTGTATACTTCTACTTCACTACATCTTTGAAGGAAATACCTTTAGTTATTTTGCAGATGTAGAGGAATAATACAAAATCTAATCAAGAAATAAATGGTGGTGTATTATTACAGATTAAGTTAGGACTTTATTGATTCCTGTGAGGGGAAATTCAGAAGCTACCCAGGAGGAGTATTTAAAGTACTTAAAATGCCATGTAAGCCAAACCAGAGCCACGTTGAGCAGCCATCCATCCGTCCATTGAAGAGAACCTTTATTATTGAGAACTGTTTATTTTGTTTATTATGATCGTTTAGTTTGTGTTAATTTGACAGCGTTGTACGCTTTGTATGAATCTCATCGTTAGCTGACGCTTTTGGGAATTTCTGCAGCTCCAGACAAAATAGAAAGTCAGCGATCAGAGGAAGGATTACATAAAAAAAAAAAAGAACGTGATGGATGGGGAGGACTAACACGGATAACCATTGGTGTCGGAACCGAACGACCTGAGAGAAGAGACTCAATGTTGCGATACTGCTCTTTGTAAAATATTTGTGTCTGTGTATGTGTTTTTGCAGGTGATCAAGGTAACTGAGAGCCAGTGAGCCCAGGTATTTAGGTGTTGGTTCCTGCGCCTTCCACCACGCTCTGCCACACTACCTTAGGCCCCATCCACACTAGTTTTTGTTTAAAAGGCGAAAGAATAAAATATTGGCAACGAAGATTTTCTTTTGCATGGACCAGTAACGAGTTGGGACTGTTACTGAATGTAACACGGGAGTGTGGCGGCAGAAAACAGACTGGGAGTCGTCGCAAATTAAACATGCACAGTACAAATGAAGGCTAAAAGTGTTATTTGCACGTCCTGTCTAAAACTCTGTCAGCAGCATCGTGTTTCTGCTTTGCTTAACTTCTAAGCCCCAATCAGAGAGCCAAACGTAAGCGTCTGCGTCATCGTTTCTAAAGTCCTCCGTTTTTGCCCGTCCGCACTAAAACGCTACCCGGAACGGGGTCGGCAGTGTTTTAGGCTGGACAGGAGGTGGAAACGTAGCAAAAGGTCCCCGTTTTGAAACAAAAATGCAGTAGTATGGACGGGGCCTTTTAGTTTTGTTTTGCTCATTGACAACATGCATCACATACTAATCAAACATGCACCATCATACACTACTGATAGGATTGATTTCTACACCTCATTGTTAGTCCTTTGTTGTTGGTATTAATACATTTCAGTTTATTATGGTTCAGCCGGGTTGTAACACTACCTAAATCATGGATTATAGCCTTGGAACTGTGGAAATTTCTCTGTATTTTTGTCCCCATTTCTGCCACGAGCTCAACCTCTAGGCGTATGTCATCAGCATGTGCTGACAGTGTTTTTTGTAGCGTACCATCTCCAAACACTGTTACTCACTGAGGGTCACTGGTTTATCGGGTACTGGGTAAATGTTTGTGATGTATCCAGAGGGTCATGCCTTTCTTTGTTTTATAACATGTACCTGGCTGTACCAGGGTCTTCCAGAGGACCTCTTAAAGTTAGTTAAAGATAGTGCTGACCCTGAGATTAGGATAAAAGCTGCATGTGCTGAGACGCTGCAGCTCACTTTGATGATACACTTAAGGCTCGTGCAGACTACACGACTTTCAGTGTCGGCTGATGGCCGTGCCGTTCACACTACACAACACACAGTCTTGTGACGGGAGTCTTGAAGTCGTTGTGGCGTTCAGGCGTTCACGCTACATGACAGGGGGTCACACACTACAGGAGCTGACAGCGGCTGTGTCACCTGACGCAGGTCTCCAAACCACGTTTTGTCAAGAAAACACACGTGAAATGTGAAACGGGAAAGGAAACCTGCACACAAAACAGCTGTTTGTTATTATAAAGATCAGGGTGAAAGGATGGATCAGCACACGCAGGCAGCAGGGATCATCTGAGCTACAGAGAGCTGGAAGGGAGTAAGAAGCAGCCGCCTGCTCTCATTGGCTGGATGTGGATGTGGAGTCGTCCGACTCTTCCAGATATTTGGCGTACTAGATATCTGGCAGACGTCGGCGATGTGTTAGAAATGTGTCGGGAAGCCGTTTTGATGCATCATCGAGTAGTTCACACATAACGACTGGCGACCGCCGATCGATCGCTGATTTACCCCCTGTCGCAGCCTGACGGTCGCCGAGCGGCAAATCGTGCTAAGAATCGTGTAGCGTGAACTAGGCTTTAGGCGTGTGTGTCCCAGTGGCTTCCTTCTGCAGAAGACTTGAATAAAATTCACAGCAAGGGCGTCACTTTGTGTTGAAAAGTGGTGGGGACATAAGCGCTCAGACTAAAGGTGTGAAGATAGAACATCATGATATGCGATATTAGTTTCACGAGAATGAGAAGAAAAGATCCTTAAACAGTGTTTTAACGGCGGAGGGTCTGGGGGGACCACCCCCAGGAAATTTTGATCATCAAACACTTAATTTCCTGCATTCTGATGAAATTTTCTGCACCAATTTATGGTGGAAATGTTTTTATTTATGTAAAAGAAAACACACAATTCAGGCAGCACGTGACATTTAAAATATATAAATATAACAGAATCAGAAAGTGAGTGCAGCTCTCAGTCATTCAGATCTGTTTCTCCTGCAGATCAACATTTCTCATGTAACATCCTCCCTGCTGAGGCAGCACACATGCAGGCATGATTTAGTCTTCACTCCTCTTTTATGTCCAAAGGGAGAGAATGGAAAACTGGCCAAAAAGAAACTGTGACAAGAAGCTGCTACACATTTTTGGGTCATTTTATTATCAGTAGCTTGTTTTTTTTGCTTAAGCTACTTTTTTTTGGATAATGCACATTTGTTTCTTCAATATCGTAATTGCATTTCATGTTTTCTTAATGTGCAAATAAACCTTTCTTAAAGCACTTTCATTTGTTATTTAACTGCAAGCTGTAGTTCAGAATGTTTTTTTTAACAAAAGTGATGGGGACAAAATCAGCCATTACAAAAAGTGGTGGGGACATGTCCCCTGCGGGACCGGTGTAAATGACACCTATGATTCACAGAAAGACAAGTGTTTGCCTGAGCTGTTTATTTGAGAATTCGAATTGCCATCACAATTTTGGCGTTGTCGGCAGGACTTTGACGATCCATAATCTTGAAGCGCTCCACTGTCACCTGACATTATCTCCACAGAAAAAAACACACTCAAACTATGCTTCTCTGTACTGTGCTCGTGTGAAAAACATCCATCACAAAAGGGCTGTAAGATCCGGCTAAATTAAAGTCAAAGGTCACTTCTGTGGGGTCAAAGGTCACAGGCAGCAAATTAAGAAGTGGAAAAGGTTCTGTCAGAAAGACGCCCATGCAATTTCCTGCGGTAACGATGATCTGTCACCGAGGCAAATTTCACAACATCACACATCCCCAGTTTCCAATTTATCTGTATCACACCTTGAAATAGACGACGCTGTAAACGTGTGTGTGTGTCTCACCTCCTCTGCTGGTTGAAGAAGCAGGTGAAGGACTGGCTGCTGACCTCTTTGGTGAAGTAATCCTCCCACCACAAAACACTGTCTTTGTTCTTCTGGTTGTCCCTCTCGCAGGGAGGGACGTATGAACACTGAGACACACAAAACAGGTCATAATCAACACCACATATATGATGTTGTAGACAATGTAATAAAACAGTGTGAGCATATATACGGTGAAATATGGCAGGGCTGAAACAATTCATCGAAAAACTGTAAAGATGCTTTTTAGTGATCGAGTTTGTTTAATCAACTATACTTCGATCATTACTGTCGCGCAACACGCTTACGCCGCGGACGCGATTTAATGGTGCAGATTTCAAAATGGAGGAAGAGAGAGAAAATAGCGAGGGGCAAAAAAGAGACAGAACAAAGAGAAAGACAGAAAGTGTCCAAAGTCTGGGATCATTTCAAGCTAAAAGAAAACAGCAGCTCTGTCCAGAGGATCTGCCGCAAAACAGAACCAGCAGACCACAACGGCAGGACGGCAACGCTTCAGCATCTGAGCAGAAAGCATCGAGTCCACGGAGCGGACCCCGAACAAGCTAACGTTAGCATTTAACAGAAATCATGATTGCTAGTTGAGATGAAGGCTAGCAAAGGTAAGGCTCAATTCTTAGCTGAAAATATATAAACGTGTGTTTGTTGTTATTGTTCTCCGACTGGTTTGTCGGTTAGTGAGTTTGGGTTGTAACGTTACAGATATGAGTTACACAGATGATCCCGGCATCGGGGGCAGCAAGCTAAAGTATTTCTTACTCGATGAATCAGTAGAATAATCGACAGCCCTAAAATACAGTAACATATTATAACATAATTTAGCAAAGCAAAAGAGCATTGAATATAAAATGTATAGTCTAGTATGAGTATAGTATATTATTAATAAATATAAATAATAATAATACATTTTATTTCTATAGCGCTTTTCAGGACACTCAAAGACACTTTACAATAAAACCAGCATTTAAAAATATAGATAAAATACATAAATGGAAAAATACCTGAACGATAAGTAGTACATAACGATAGTACAATACAATACAATATAATCATTATATGCATTCAATAGTTCAAACATCAAAATTGTCAAGAAAACTAAGCAACATTTAAGGGTTACGTCTCCTGCTGATAATGACACAGCCACTTATTATAAATTTGACAAATATCACATGATAACTGTACCACCCCATGATGACCAAACACTCCTGCCACAAGATCTCCAGATAACTGGGTCAGTGCTGGGAAGCAACTAAATTATTTGAATTATTCATAAATCGTTACGTCTGTAAAAAGGGAAAAAAGTTCTCCAGAGTCCAGGGCCCTGACAGTATTGGAGCCCTAGGTGAGATTTGAAATTTGGCGGATTTTCCTGAAATGCAAGAATGCACTGTGTGACTGGTTTAGTTTCACCTGTGGACAGGACAAATAAAGAGGAGGGTCTATGGGTCCCCCCCCAGAACGTTTTGAGCATTAAAATGGAACTTAATTTCCTGCATTCTGGTGAATATTTCTTCAACAATTTATGGTTAATCTTCATGTATATAAAGGGAAAAACAATATTCAGGCAGCATGTGACAAAAAAATACATTAAAATTTAATAGAATATAACGCAGGAAGGCTTTTTAGGCATTCTGCAGCTATTGCTTTTAAATATGTTTTCTCCATTGGACCTTTTCACCTCAATGAGAAGTTAATTCATTTTAATTCAGTTAGAAACTCCTGGACTTTAATAGCTCCTGTGTTTCAGCTCATGTTCAAAATTTTCTGCACATTCAGAATCTCTCCCACATATCTGTGTTCTCTGACATGTCCAGAAAACAAATCGCAATATTACGAGACTAACGTCATCATTTAATGAGAATTCATTATATTTTTAATTCCACCCGGGCCTCTACTCTGCTGTGCATTACGTTATTGATCCGCTGGCATATAGCCTATCCCCTTTAGACCGTTTGACTGACACAGTTTGGGACTGCATGTGAAACCGAAAACAAGTAAAAACACTTCTGTTCAGGCAGAAATCTCACCACAAATGGATCACATGTTAATTTCCATTAAAGTGCAGCTCACAGTCCAAAACAGAGAAAGGCTGCGTTTTAAGTTTTAAGATGTTTATGTTGCAAAACTGTAGTCTACCAGTCATGTTACTGTCCGGACTCACAGTGCGAGGTGCACATGATTGACTCATCAGTTAATTCGCACCGAGTGGAAAACCTTCCCCTGATATTTTGCGCCATAGGAGACCACCTATGCACGTACAATTACGTTTTGGTTGCAAAGCTATTAGTTTGAACGTACATTTAATTTTTTTCATTGCATCACTCTGGCGTTCTGAAAGTCTCTAAAAATAAATAACAGTGATGATCACCCAGCAGCAGGGGGCGCTGTAATAAGGTCAAAACAAGGTGACAAGTTTGATACTGATTGGCTCAGAGAGGGGGGGGGGGGGGGGGGGCTGCATCGTTTTTTTCCCTCTACTGTTTAGTTTCAGTTTCACCTTCCAAAACATAATCTCTTTCACACACACACACATCCTCGAAGCAGGAGGTTGATTGGTACCCGGCTGGTTACTGTGGATCATCTGGTTGCTATGACGATGATGTGATTGGTACACAGAAGGGGGGTGGAGGAGGAGGGAGGTTTGGTGATTGCAACCTGAACTACATTTCAGCTCAACACACTGAACAGTAACACAATGAAAAGGAAAGATGAGGCAGTAAAAAAGCATCTACAGAAAACTACATCAACTACTATGTCTCAACCGTGGCGGGAGAGATTTTACAATCACAGCATTTCAGATCATTTGTGCTACAATCAGGAGCAAAAACACCAAAAACACTGCTTAACAGGTGTGGCTCTCAACTCTGAGCTCATTGGTTCCTTCTGAGGACGTAAGTCTTTAAAAACACCTCACAAATATGTGGTTTCATGTTTAAAAAAAGTCTCAGTAGTTTCCTAAAGCAGCTGCTAACTATAGTTTCCATCAAACTCTAAAAAAATAGGAGGACATAGTGCATTTGTTGGGGACTAGGGATGTCACAAGAACCAGTACTTTGGTACCAATATGAAGCCAAAAATAGTACAGAGTCGTGTATGGAAACCGGGGTAGAGTTAGTTTATAATATTTAACATTCGTCAGTTTTAGCAGCTGTGACAGCTCCGTGTCAAAGCCTGGATTTCTCCCAGTTCTGGATCTGTTGGAGAGCTAATTCAGGCAGACGTTTCACAGTTTGATCACCTGAAAATCACCAAAGATGACGATGCAGTTTGCAGCTCTAAGAACTGAACATCTGTCCAACGCTGCTGTTCCTGTGGGAGGAGTTAGGGACCGTCTGAAAAGAGCAACACGATCCATTTCATTTGTTTTTTTCAACATAGAAATCTCAAACCACTGCCAATATAGATAGTGATCACCCTTAAACATTTCACACATGTGGGTTTGTAAAAAAAAAAGAAAAAAAAAAGAAAGAAAATTAATTGCACATTTCAAGGTTGTAATCGCAATAACTTGCTTAATTATGAATATATTTACACCTCTCATCTGTCCTGGACATCCTCTCACACCTTTCACAGCTGTTAGTTCTTTTTAATGTGCAAATGTTTTTATTAAAGAGGTGGTATTCTGCTCATTTTCAGGTTCAAAATCTTATTTAGTGGTTGTACCAGAACAGGTTTACATGGTTTCATTTTCAAAAAACAACATATTTTTTGTCATACTGCACATTGCTGCAGCTCCTCTTTTCAGCCTGTGTTGAAGGCTTCGTTTTATCTATGGAGTGATACATCTTGTCTCTAAATGATCTTTGTTGGGAGTTGCACATGCTCAGTTCCTAGTTAAGGACTACTAGCCAATCAGAAGCAGAGAAGGGCGGGTCAGCGAGGAGCCGGTAAACAGCTCGGGTTCAGCCGTACGTGTTGCCGACCGGCTTGGCAACATGGACTGGAGCGAGAGTTTCAGAGCGGTGAGTTATTAATCTGTATCCATAAAGTTTTAACTGAGCTCTGTCTCTACATCACAGGAACAACTTTATGTCCACTGACTGCCTGGAGGGTAGCTAGTGTTTGGAAGGGAGAGGAGAGCTGTGCGCTTCAGCTAGCTGTTTCTGAGGGCGTGTCGGAGTCGCCGCTTGGCGAGCGTTATATGAGGCGCGTTTAGCTTTCATCCCTGTGACATCACAAGGATGAAAGGGAAGCGGCTGGACTACAAACGAGCTGTTTTCAGTTCAGAGCAGAGTTTTCTGTGGGAGATGGGAACTCCCTTTGGGCTTTTTCACTTTGCAAACCTGTTACATGCACAAAAAAGACTCAATAAGGAGAGGGGAAAAAGCCAAAAAGCAGAATACCACCTCTTTAATGTAGTGTGTGTTTAAATACACAGGATTTATTGTTTTTTTACTGTGGTATCAAATTGTGTATTGAGAATCATTTCACAGGTCTTGGTATCGACTGCTAAATTTCTCTGTTGGGGATGATTTTCAGTGGCGGATTAGAAGTGTCCAACAAACACTCAGTCATGTGATGCACGAACTACGTGTTCACCATGGTGACAAATGTCACCTAACTGTAAGATTCAGACTCATTTCAACTCAAACAACGTCCCTTAATAAAACAGATTTACAGTGAAGATGCCTCTTTGTGTTGCTCTAGAGGCCAGACAACATATTTAGATTTTTAAATTTGGAGGAGTTGTTGTAACATTATACCTGCAAAATATAAGCATGTTAGCACCCCGTTGTTAGCCTCACATTTGACTACTAGACAAATTATTGTCATTTTAAACACATATCTCGTTTTCCACCTCAGTATCCTGACGTGACTTTCTGGATTCAGCTGAGCTAAAAGTTTGGAAAAGCTGCTAAACATAACTTGCCGTATCACATGAATGTAGAAGAAAATAATGTACTGTCTGTTCTTCACTTTAAAAAGTCCAAAACCACCGTAAAAATAGGCTGCATTGAAAAAAGGGGCATCGTGTCCATTAGTGAGTGAGGCTGCATGTTATCTGAACACCCACAGCTGCTTTCATACTTTAGCACTGTAAATGCAGCTTCTTTTTTTAGGTAAGGAGATAAACACAAACAGGGAAAGTACA